CTTGGAATCTGAGCTGGCTGGATGCATTCTACCCTTAAATAGAAGATATAAATTTATTTAAGCCATGTCCTGGATAATAAATTTATTTACTCATTTATTTAATATCACCATTTGTAGCCTGCCCATAAAACTTTCAGTTCATAGACAAGTTGGAGTCAGATATATAAATGTGATTGCAAACAGCTCTGTAGGTGTACCTCCAGAGTCATGCCCGGACAGGTTGTTTTGTCAAGTGGTTAGACTACGACAATAATATCTTTCAGTTAGTGCTCCTTTACAGGCAAGAACAGACATTAAGTGCTTTCTTGAGACCTAAATAAGCGTATCAGAAACCTTATTCATCACTGGAGTACATATTAATGTACTCATTACTCAGGAAACACACAAATCCTATATATGTGATGCATTTTTGTTACTGACAGATGATGACAAAAGATTTCAGGTTCATTCAGTGTTCAGGATACCAAGAATTTGTCATATCTGCTTAAAGGATTAAATTTTAGCACTACATCAAATACAGTAGTTTTACTGTGGTCAGAAAATTTGGCTCCATAAGCCACCTTAAAATTATTAAAATGCTTCCCTTCATCTTCACTCTCCAAACTCCATCTATCCTGAACAACAATCCACCCACTGAACATGGCAAATCCAAGATCTTCTTTCCCATTCATACTGAAATTCCTATTCAGTCTCTCAATGCACTAGATATAAGTCTACTGTAATAACCGCATACATCAAATAATAAGTTATTTTTCTACATTTCAGTACTCATTATAAATATTTTATTTCTACTTCTCCAACCTAATTTTCAATTCACATATATTTCCTCATAATTCTGTCATATTTCCTTTTTATAGCCATAAGCCGTATTTCTATTTTATCATTTCCTTTTAACTACCCTGGAAGACCTTTCTGTATTTCAATTACCTGCAGACTCCCAGTCCTGCAGCATAGTCTTAAAATCAAAACTGAAGTATTGATGCACTCCTCTGCATATTAATTCTGGTTATTATTAGAATATTATCAGAATATAGGTATGCTGGAGCCTCCTGAAGCTTCCTTGACACATCAAGGCTCTCATCTTTCATCTAGTGAAGTCAATGACTGATCAAAAGCCAGACTGAACCCACTGTAAGCATATACTTCAGTGTAATGAAAAAGATACTTGCAGCCCTTCACATACTTTTTCCTGACAATGTTCTGGTGTCGAAGTATATTTTACCTATATGCATCCTGTTATTAATATGACTAAGTTACCACAGTCTGTGCTCTTTTTCTGACTTCCATTTTTCCACAATTGTACTATTTGACAAGGAAGAAGGTTCTTAGGAAGTCATAGTGTCCTGCAAATTTTTTATGCCTCTTTTGTTTCTCCTAGTACTGCTAGCAACAACATGCAAACCTTTATACAACTGCAATTCCCCCAGTGAGAACGATTTCTATGTTTGAAATATGGGAAAAAAGTGAGCTTCAACCAATTAGATCAGGTCATACAATACAGATGTGGAACTTCATGTATCTGAAAAATTTGCATTTCCAAAAATTATGAAGTGGTTGAACTCTACAGAACTAAAATCTTGGTAAAACTATAACTGACAAATTTCAAAGTAGCTCCTTATTTCTTTTTAGAGAAAAAGTATTACTGTTGACATGTTAATTATAATAATAAAAAAATTCAGTTCTATCCTGAAAGGACTTAAAGTCCTGGGCTTAAAAAACCAGACTACACCACCCAGATATGCAGCAGTAAGAAAGAAAATAATCCAGCAATTAAGATAGTAGGAAAAAAGATTAATTGAATTTCCTTAAAGGTAATTAATATTTTCCAAACAATTTAGACTGGGTTATTTAGAAAAAATTATATAGCTGATTTGCTACATCTAGAAAACAAAATTGGATTTGACTGCAGAACAGCAATGGCTTCTGATTGATGACCTATCTAATTTAATTTGCAAATCTATTTTTGCTTTGCCTTTTTAAAGCACGATTAATAAACATAAAAAGCCACACGTGCAAGTATAACATATAGAAGCTATGCAAACCTGGAACGAAAGAAATTATACTATAGTTGTTATGGGTCTGAAAAGAAGGGTCAGAGATATAATCATGTTTAAATAAAGAACATTATAGGAAAGTGAAGGAATTATATAATCAAAAGAACATGTGGGAGACAACATGAGGGTTAAATTACTGTTTCATCTTCTTTGAAATCATAGAGAGAAATACTCTTTTCAAAAAGCAAAAATGTTTGCAAAATTTGGATAGAAAATTATGAGTTAAATGGGGAAAAAAGAGGATTTCTGATAGTGTGCACTTAGCCTTAACTAAAAAAGCCACCTTGGAAGACAAAACAGAAAAATCCTCATTTACATTGTCAAAAAAAATTAGGTGCAGTTTCACTAAAACTAAGTGAGTTCCAGGTTCCTTCATATACAGCTGCTAACTACAAGTTTGCTTTAAGAAAAAAAACAAAACAAAACAAAACTAAACTAAACTAAAAAACCATACTAACAGAGCCATCCATTGAAGGTGTTTATATAACTATTTCACAGCATTGTCTCAGGAAAATCTAGACTAAGGGATTCTTAATCTTTCTCAAAAGTGTTCTGGCAGGGTAAAGCTCCTTCATGATGTGTGCTTGCACTCTCATGAACAAGGTTGATCAGTGCAGTTCTGCTACAGGCGTATCTTACAGAATCATAATCCAGTTAAAAGAAGAATGAAATAAAAGCAAAGGGAATAAAATTTTGAATTAAGATTTTAAAAAGAGAAGTAAAAATCAAACAGATACTGTTGTTCTGTAGGTGCAGAGAGACAGAATAAGACCCTGTGATGCTATAGATGCTTGGAACAGCAGGGTGAATATAAAAAAATGGAGAAAGGTTTAATCATGTGCAGAAAGGAGCCCCTGAGCCCATCAGAAAATGAGCTTCTTGTTACTACTTGTTTCCCCAGTTCTTTAACAATATGTTCACGTCATCAAGCCTTTCTCTTTCCTCCCTCCAAAGCTCCAAGATACATGTTAAACTTGGTGACAGGAGGCATCTCTGTGCAAAAGGACAATAGACAGCTGCAGTTCTCACAGCTCTCTCTAACAACACAAAATTTAAATGTTTTTTCTTCTTTCCTTGAGTAATAAAGCAGAAAAGAGATAATGCAGTTAAAAGGAAAAGCAAAATTAGCGATGTAAGGAAGGATAAGAAGTTAAACTAAGCCAGTCAATTGCCTAATTTTAAAGTGAGAGACTCATTATACAAATAAATAACTGCAATATCTCTAAACAGAAAGTACTATTTCTAGTTCCATATTTTTCTTATCTAGGAAATAAAGTGATACCTGGATTCCTACCCTCTTTCTACTATACCTTTCTGCTTGGAATACGTTGCATACACAAAAATTTACAAATAAAAATGTTACAAAAAAATAATCTGTGAGAAGCTGCCAGCGTATCTTTCAAGTTTTTATTAATCAAGAATTTCTTAGACTGACTTATGATAGCTTGCTTTTAAAAGTTGAGCATTAAAAAACTCTTCTGAATGGAGGAAAAATAGTATACGAAAAATCCCACATTGCCATGGTAGCTTACAAATGTCCATATGCACACTTTGAAAATTAATTGCAAAAATAAATAATTTACTGGACACATTCACAGTGAAGTATTTTCAAAGAAACACTATTGAATGCTACAGAAGAAACGAAAATAATTCCATTGTAGTACCACCCTTAAATAAATACATGTGAGAGATTTATCTCCAAATAAGCACATCTTATTTTCCCTTTTTTATATTCAGCTTTTGTTTTATTTCTTCTTCCATAATTCCTTCTCTATATTCACCCCAAGGCACCATGATAATAAAAACACAATCTTGAGAAAAATAAACTAAAGAAAAAAAATCTGGTTGATGTTTGACATTATGATTTCCTGCCAGGTTTCATCAGTCATATCATGCCGTGTGGAGTAATACAGTCTGATTGATGCTGCTCACAGGGACTCATCACCTTTCATGTGCTTGCTGGAGAACTTAAAGGTATCACACAATCTTTGGATAAATTTAATTCTTTTGGTGCCAAATGTTTGATTAAAAAATAATGATAATGACATCAAAAACTTATGACTGTATTTCTCAGTGGGGGGGAATATAATTCTTAGCGTAATTTATAAATGGCTAAAAGACTTATAATTGCTAAAAAAACTTACAAGTTGTTTTATTTTTTATTACTTATGACAGATACTTTGAAATCTCCTGTATCAATTGTACATTTAAGATTAATTTTATCAGCATTTAGTATTATGACCAAGTTTGAGCCTTAGTAGGATTCAACATGATTCTTTTTTTCCACATTATGGATGATGAGGCCCTGTTTCCCTGAAGATTGCTGAACACCTCACTGCTCCTGGAAAGCACTGAATTAATTCCTTGTTTTGCTTTGCTTGTGTGTGTGACTTTTGCTTTACCTAATGAACTGTCTTTACCTCTCCACCCATTATTTGTTTGGTTTTTTTTATTTTCACCCTTCCAGTTCTCTCCCCCACCCACACTGGAGGAAGAGTGAGTGAGTGGTTGTGCCAGGCTTGGTTGCTGGCTGTGGCAAAACCATAACAGTAACCTTTATTTCATTATCAACTAATATAGCCAAGTCAAGGCAAGGTTTTTCAAATGAGCCTCATGAAATCTTAATTCATATAGAAGGTAGACTTGATATTTTGTATACAGAAAAAAAAAAGACATAAAATATAACATATAAAACATATAAAACCAAAATACAGTGGTAAATGTGATTTGTACCACAGTTAATCCTGTAGAATTTAAATTAAATCTATCTTTAGAGGAATTGATATTTAAATAATGCAGTATTTTTTGGTTGGTCAAACAATAACTGATAATGAGAAGATATTTTCTTTTCCAGTGGACAAAAATTTTGTAGATTGATAGTTTAATTACTACTAAAGTTATTACAAATATGTTTACATGCATTTAGATTCTTTATTATTACCATACCTGTTACTTTCAGTCTGTCAGCTCCAATGACAATCTCATCTTCATCTGCAGAAAACAATATTTTTCCACTGTCACTGGCTCTCACTTCAAATCTCTTACACTGAGCTTCCACAGCATCAGCTCCTGAAATCAAGTAAGTGATCATTACATCTAAGACATTTTGTAAGAACTAATCATCAGCATACATTGAATAGTCAAAATATATTGAATACATGATGCTTTACTAAAATATTTAGCTTTCTGTAAGCCTGATAGATAATTCACATTATAAAAAATGTTAAAATAGTTTACAGAAATAACTATGAAAAACATCTATTTCAGCATTATATGGAAATCAACACTAAAATTCGACTGTACTTAAAATTTAGAATGTACTTAAACACTGAGATCTTGAAATGCCAATTCAGACAGAGCTTTATGGGGATTTTTCAGTTTAAATTGCAGTTTCTTGCCAAAAAAATTATAACACATGACCCTATTCCATCAAGACATACAAATCAACTCAGTAGAAAAGGATATTTTTCATTCAGTTCTACTCCAAATTTAGAGAATGGTATAACAAAAAAAAACCCAAAAAACCCAAAAACCCCAAAAAACAAAACAAAACAAAACAAACAAACAAACAAAAAACCCCACAAAAAACCCTCCACCAAAACCAACAAAAATCTTGGACTAAGATATCAACATTTATGCCATATTTTATGAAACAATATTCCCAAATGTCTCAAAGCTCAAAAATCCTAAAATAATTCTGGATTAGAGAGATATATGGATTGATATAACTGCAATGAAGAAACTTTCTAGGTTAAGACTTTTTTAAACTTTTAAATTTACTATTCTTTTCAATTTACAGGTCTTATTTTATTTTATTAATATGTGAAAGTAAAATTATTTCTGAAACTGGTGTTGAAAAGCAACTAACTGCATAAGGCACAACAAAATATAAGGCACAATACATTATTTCAGGGAATAATAATCTGAAATTTTCTCTATAATCCCTAATCAGATTTATAATGCATTCCTGGAATAAATTTATATACATAAAAATTATGTGGAGAGCATTACAGACAAATAAATTTATATATGTTATTTCAGTTTAATAATCTGGTTTAAAAGCTTGTAAAAAACTCCTTCTCCATAATATGTAAGTTTTTTATTTAATATGCAAATACATAATATCAAACTATGTAATAAGGAATATAAAAATGGTGATAATGAATTTTGGTCAAGGAATTGCCTTAGCAGCTCATAATTTGCAGAATCAGCTATGTGATCAAAAAAATTCCTCTTACTTTCAGATGAACTTATGTTTGTACTGTAAAAAAATCTATTTTTGATTCACAAAGAAAGAAAAATAAAAAAGGATTATCAAAATACTTGTGATGATGCATTTTGTTTAACTTAGAGATGTTTATTCTGTAAATGTATAAAATAGTATTTTTTTCCCACTCCCCTCCCCCACTGGAGTTTTTCTTTTTAATTATTATTTTTAAAATGTGTTGATCAGGTTGTTGGCTTTGTTTTGAAAAAAATACAAAATCTTTATAAAAACAGGGGCAGATTTCAGATTTCAAATGCAGATGTTTGGAAATGCCCTTGTCCTGCAACCATACTTATGTTTCAGATAACCAAAGGATAATTACAAATAGCTTAATACTAAATAGTTTAATCTTTATTTAAGAGCTGATGATAGCTGAGCCACCTAAAATTAAGTGTCATTATAAGTACTGTGATGTTACTAATTTACACCCATCAAAGTTGTTAGGTCTGGAAAGAAAAGAAATTAACAAAAAATGTGTCAGAAATCAAGAAGAGAAAAGACCTGCCACATTCTTAGTCATTATATATCACTGTAAGTGACAGCCCATGTTTCAATAGCAGCTTTTAAAAACTTGTTTTCCTGAAAAATTTCTTAAATAACAATGGTCTGGAACTTTGACTAAGGAATGTATATATTTTAGATGTTATTTGTGCTGCTTCAGAATCACATTGTATAACAGAACACCTAGAATTCAGCTAGTCCAAAATATCTTTACAGGAAGTAAATAAATTTTAATGCTAAAATAAATAGGATTTTACTTAATGTTTCACTCAGGTATAGTGTATTACTTGTATTACTTACTTACTGTTGAAATGGTAGTTAGTGTGTTCAAGGCACTTGAGAGATTACTAAAAAACATAATACAAGTTACATCTGTCTTTCTGACATAGAACCAGTTGTGAATGTTATAAAACTGGTTTTGAAAAGTTAAACTGCCTACAGAATACTCATTGCTATCAAAATGGAATTCTGTTTCATTTTCATTTCCCAGTGGAAATAGGAGCAAGAAGTTGCATTTGCAATGTATTAGGGCATTATCTTCTTAGCTGTAAAGCAAATTGCTGTGTTCCAAAAACACTCTACAAACACACGTCTCATAAAATGTCTGAATCTTTAATAGTACTACTAAGAAAAACAATACATCAAGTCTTAGAATATTATGCATGAACAAAGGAAGTATTTTAAAATTCTAATCTCAAGCTTGTAGAGACATCACTATTTTCAGCAAATCATACCTGCTTGAATAATGCATACCTCAGTCCACAGAATCATGTATGAAAATCTATCTTCTAAATTCTGTTTGGAAAGGTAATTTCTGTCAAACACATGGCTACCAGAAAAGCTGTTTAGCTTTGCTACTTCTTACTATATTGCTGTTCTACTTCATACTAGACATGGAGTTGGCTACATAACAGCATTAATCGGGTTAATGAGGTGTTTATGACAAACACTTTTTGCATCTTATGTTCAAGAAAACTATTTAGTTGTAAAATCAGATGTAAAATTCTCAAAAAATTATTATGTTTCTGTGAAATTCCTTTCATTTAAAGTATATACATGAAAAATATATGTATCATATTCAAGTATACATGGTATGTAATGATGGTTTATAACACATGCTTGGTACACAGCAGTTGTATAATTGAAAATAGCCTTAAACCAGCTACATTTAAAATAGTACAAAGCCTAAAATTGTTCATTTTAACTGTAGTGGAGATACATTAAATGAAAATGTTGGGCAGTACATGCTGTATTTTTCTGTAAAAATAAAGAAAATGATGGTTCTGTAATCCAGATTAACAGTAATAGAGATTAAATTTCAAAATAAAAACTATTTTGAATTTGTAGATAGTTTGACTTGCTAATTAAGTCATATAATCATTACAATATGAAGAATGCATGTTCTAACATTTTTCATTTTAAAGTCAATGATTACTTACAGTACTTCATTATTATTCAGAAATAATAATTAGAACCATTATTTGCTACGATAATAAACAGTAATAAGAACTCTCCAGTCTTACAAGGTTTATATATGATTACAAACACTAGCAGTTGTATCTGATTTCTGAACCATCTTCCATGTCTACCTGGCACACAAAAAATTCAGACATAGAAAAACATTAAAAAATCAACAACCTTAAATTAAATATAAGGATTAGAATTCAAATGGAATTGCCACAAACTGATCCTTGTAAATAGGAAACATAGTGAAGTTCAATATACTTTCTTCTGCTTCTTTAATGAAAAATGAGTTATTTAAATACTTATTAAATGCACAGTTTTATGCAGAGTCTGGATGACAAAGAAAGTTACTTTTATGAGAATATGTTCATGCTTCTGAGATTGGAAATTAAGGAAATAAAGCATTTTTTATAAAGATTCAACACTCATCTGGGTCTAAGATCAATTTTAGGTATACACCTAGATAATTTTTAAAATATTTATAGGAATGTTAGATATTATGGTATTTTGGCTAGCAGAGATCTCAAAAAAAATTCAGTGAATGAAAGAGCAATTGTGCAAGTTAAGGATTTGTACCAGCTGAACAGAACAGAAGCACTGAGGAATTTGGAAAAGAAAAAGAGAACTTTCAGCTGACACCAAAACATCTACACAAGCAAAAATTTTGAACAGTCAGAATATATTCAGTGTTCTGTTTGCTGAGGAAGGGAAGGGACCATCTTCATTATATCTAAAAAGTGTGAAAGTAGAAGGTAAAAGACCCCTTAGCTCATTCTCATAGCTGGTGGCCATGCTGGAGAGATGTCAGAAAGTTACTGTTTCTAGAAGTTGATCTTCAAGGTTTCCTATTCTGAATGATTATCTACTCAGACAAGGGAAGCTGGAGCAAATGCTGGATGAGAAGAAACAAAGCACACATTTGTTACCTTTTCTAGAGGTGAACAATAAGAGCTGTCAACATAAATTATTAGCATAGGAATAAGGCAAACGTTATTATAAGAGGAAACTTTGTAGAACCATCTGAATCATATCCATTAAAGATTAGTGATATAATAGGTTTAGGACTTTGTCAAACAAAATCTGACAGAAGAGTTCTGCCCTCCCAAGCAGATTTTACTTCTCAGAACTTTGTAGAATTATAGAATCATTATGGTTGTAAAAGACCTCTAAGACCATTGCGTCGAACATTAACCTGGCACTGTCGATACAGTATATCAGTTTCACTGGAAAACACATCTGAAATATTGTCTGTCACCTCTGCAATAGATAGAATATATCCTTCCTGCAGTCTGTCTGCCTGGTGCATCTTGACAGTGGAACCCCAGCCATGAAAAGAGTATGTGGGAGTAGTATACAAGCAGCAGCAGATAACACTCTCCATCCTACTTCTATGAGGCCACAACTACTTAAGAGCAATTCTGTTCTTTTCTGCCTACTATCCCTGACACATGGTAATTTCCATGAGACTCAGAAATTACATGGCTGAACAGACGTTGGTCTGATCAGATACAGCTGTTCATAATTTCATCAGTTACGAGCAATACACATGGGGAAATGAAAGTAAATGTGATTCTTTGCTTCTTGAAAGTTGTTCGAGCTTTAAGGAAACATATTTATTTTGCTTCTGTAAAGGTTAAAAGGATGTGCATTGTCTGTAATTTTAGCTATAATATCTTAATTGCTTATATGGGTCCTTAGACAAGAAAGCCAAGCAAGACACAGGAAGGTAAGGCACAAAAATTTATCTGTAGCACTTCACAATGTATGTTTTGCTCTTTTTATAATCTCATTAAGGTTAATTTACTCATAACATGCTCTAGATTCTTGAACTAAGTAA